TCCCCTTTTCCTTTATCTCTTTTTGGATGTGTTTTGAATTTGCACTTTCAGAAAATATTTACTGAGCACAGTAAAGCAGAATCTCTGTCCCTATCCAATCTATAGTCTGGGGGCGGGGCTGCAAGTTAGCTCAGTTGTTTCAGCACCTGCTCATGCAAATGCAGTCAGGGGCAGGATAACATGGTTAGGTTCGATCCCCAGCTCCATATGCCTTACCACAGCTCCCCTCAAGGCAAGCTGAGGGGCCGGGGAGATGGCTCAGTGGAATAAGTGCTTCCCTGGCAAGTGCAAGGGCCTGAGTTCAATCCCTGGTTCCGCCAAAAAAAACCAAACAAACAAACAGAAAGAAAGGCAAGCTGAGCCAGCCAAAAAAAAAGGGGGGGGGGGCAGGGAGATGGCTCAGTAGGATAAGTGCTTGACTGGCAAACGGAAGGATCTGAGTTCAATCCCTGGTTCTGAAAAAAAAAAAAAAATCCAATTTATGGTCAAAAGAGAAGGCAGTTACTGAAATCACTACAATGAAGTGCTCAGCACACAGGACAGGAGGTGGTTCTAGAAGGCCACTTAACAGTGACTAAAGGAGTGCAGGGCAGCTTCACAAAACAGGGTTTTCAAAGGAAATGCATGGAAGAGGCATGTGTGGGAAGTGAGTTCTAGGCACACAGACAAGAAGTGGGTAGGTCTACAGAACACGGGAACAAGCGGCAGGAGGTGGGGGGGAGAGACCACCACAGTGAGTACTACAAGAAGTGAGAGAATCAGGTGTGGTGGCGTTTAGCTGCAATCCTAGCACTCAGGAGGCTGAGGCAAGAGAATGCTTGGAGTTCCAGCTTAGCCTGGGCTACATAATCAGTTCAAGGCCAGCGTATACTATGTAATGAGACCCTGCCTCAAAATCAGACAAACATACAAACAAGCAAACATAAGAGAATGTCAATAAGGCTGGAGCAGAGCACCAGTGACAGAGGACAGGTGAATCAGGAAAGATAAATGGGTAGAGAGAACAGACTGCTGGGATCAGAAATCAATGCTGTATTTTCATCTTCTTGTAGTTTTTTTTTTTTTTTAATTATTTATTTATTTATTTATTTTTGTGTGTGTGGCCAGTTCAGCCCACGGCGGAGGGGTGGGGGGGCTAGCTGGCATGTGGTGCTGGGAATTGAACCACGGTCCCTGTGCTTTTGCTTGGCTTAGCTTGTTCTAAGTAGGTGCTTTAGACCACTGAGCCATCTCACCAGCCCTTCTTGTAGTTTTATTGTTTATTTATTTATTTATTTGGATGGAACCCCAGGCCACACTGTTACGGTTTGTGTCTAGTTGTCCCTTGAAGGCCTCACGCAGTCATGGGACAACTTCAGGAGTTTGTGGTTAATTTTTTTTTTTTTTTTGGCAGAACCAGGGATTGAACTCAGATCCTTGCATTTGCCAGGCAAGCACTTATCCTACTGAGCCATCTCCCCGGCCCCTGTGGTTGATTCTTGATCTGGTGCCGGGATTGTGGGTGTGAGTGCTACACCTGCCCTGCGGTGGGTAATCTGCATTACAATGTAAGGAGGGGAGAGATGCAAGCCAGCAGCCATAGCTTCTGCCCTTCCCTTTGCTCTTTGCTGTCTTCCACCGCAATGACTGGCTGCCCTCTGTCCTGTGCCACTCTGCCTTGGAGCCAATGAGTACAGACTAAAACCTCCACTAACTGTGAGCTAAATAAACTTTTCTTTCTTTAATGTTGGGTGTCAGGCATTTTGTCCCAGCAACAAGAGATGAGTAACCAAGACACAGACCATTTGTGATGTAATGTTTATTTTAAGACAGGGTCTTGCTAAATTGGCCGTTCTGAGCTTAAACTTGAAATCCTCTTGCTTCAACCTCCCAGAGTGCTAGGATTACCAGAATGCACCACCATAGATAGCTGCCTTTGTTCTTATTTTCCTAGTAAACTGTACATTTCTCTCTGTGTCTCTCTCTGTCTTTTGTAGTGCTGAGGATCAACCCCAGGGCCTTATTAATGCTACGCAGGTACTCTACCACTGCACTTTCCTCCCAACCCCTGTGCATTTCTTACAAAAAGGACTTTTCTTTTCCTAAGATATTGCTAGTGGCACCCAGTATTGTCCCCAGTGTATGATTAGTGTGTTCATAGAGCAATCACAAGTAGAAAGCAGCCATGTTAGGCTGTTCAAGTTATTAACTCATAAGCTTGTGAGTTAATTATAGAAAAAAATACATGCTTGAGAAGCACAGAAGATCCTCAGGCTGCCATTTGCTAGCTCTATAACTCAGGAATAAGTTATTTAACCTGTTTATGCCTCTACTTTTTCATCATCAAAAATGATAGAGGGATATTTAATTCATGAAGTATTATGAAGTTTATTTTATTATTTTATTATTTTATTTTTTTGGCGGAACTGGGGATTGAACTCAGGCCCTCACACTTGTCAGGCAAGCACTTATTCTACTGAGCTATCTCCCTGGCCCCTATCATGAAGTTTAAATGAGATATTTAAACTGAGTGTGGTGGTGTATGCCTGTAATCCCAGCACTGGTGAGGCTGAGGTAAGAGACTGCCCGGCAGGGCTGGGGAAATACTTCAGTAGAATAAGCACTTGCCTGGTAAGCACAAGGGTCTGAGTTACAAAAACAAACAAACAAAAAAAAAAAAAAAAAAAAAAAAAAAAAAAAAAAACACGAGAGAAATATTGTCTGGCCAGCCAGAGCTACACAACAAAACCTTGTCTCAAAAAGTAAATAAATAATTAACTAATTAATAAGAAAAGAAAATTTTAAAAAATTATATATCATTTATACAACACACCCCAAAGGCCAGCTCCCTTATCATCTCTCACTTCCTTTCCCAGAACCCTTAGCTCAGGCTTTTCCACATGCTTTTATACCTTACTCCATAGCTCTTCTCTCTCCTCTGCATTTGGAACGCCTCCCTCTCCACTGGCTTCATTCTTAGCCTACAAAGTCCTCATCTAAAAGCTAAAAACAATTCTTTGCTCAAGCCAGTTGTCGATTCCTTTAAGCTTTCCATTTCTCTTAATCCTTTTGTCACCAGTCTCTAATAAGAGTTGCCAACATTCCCAATTCAAGTTAATCCCAGTGCTAGAATCAGTTCTAGACCCCAGGAATGCAGATGAGAGAGGCAGGAATAGGAAGGAGACAAGACCAAGCACTGTTTCTAAGAACCACCAAGGGAGTCAGGCATGCTGAGCATCTCAGGTACTCCACTTCTCATGACCTAGTGACTTTCCAGTTTTTCCTCTTCTAGAACTATCTGCAGGATGCGGTATAGCACATGGCATACCTAAGGCCCTGAATCCTCAGCATCACAATAAAGAGCTGACCCTCATCCTCACCCTGTGCTGAGGCAAGCTGTACCATTAGCCAGTTACTTTATCAATACTTTCCCCAATTACAAATGTATTGAAGTATCTCACATGTTCTCACTGGGCTAATTATTTTACTTCCCCAATCAAACATTTTTAGTGTTTCCTCACTGCCTACAAGAAAGCCCTGCACTCCTTTCTTTTTTCTGGGTATTGAATTCAGGACCCTGTGCTTGCCAGACAGGTGCTTATTCTATTGAGCTATTTCTCTGGCCCCACTCTGAACTCTTTTATTTTTCTTTATTTTTGGAGGCTGGGTCTCACAAGGTAGTTCAGACTGGCCTTTAACTTACAGCAGTCCTCCTGCCTCAGCATCCAGTGCTGAGATTATAGGCATGTGCTATCATGCCTGGTACAAGGTCTGCACTCTTGAGTAACTTCTTTAATGTTAGTCACTATCTTAACTTTGGGGGAAAGAAAGCTCCTGTCTGAGAGAGGGACAAAAGGGGGACTGGAGAGGGTTGGCCCTATCTTAAGTTTTTCTTTCCTCACTTATCTTTCAAAGAAAGCAGACTGGAGGTGCAGACCTAGGCACTACTTTCCGAGTGTCTCATCCTAGGCTTATTCCTTGTACATGCTTATGCAGGTTCCATCATCTGGGAATCACTTCTTTCCAATCTCTTGCTTTTAAATAGTTTACAAAGTGCCAGTTATGGTGACACATGCCTGTAATCTCAGCAATGGTGGGACTGAAGCAGGAGGAGTGCTCTGCATTCCAGGCTAGCCTAAACTATATAGTGTGATCTTGCTTTTTTTTTTTTTAAGTTTAATCTTTTTTGTGCTTTTCTTTTTTGGTGTATATGTGGGTCCCTCTGTGATAGTTTGGCTATATCTGACAGGCTTGCCTTGAACTTGCAATCCTCATAAGTAGTTGGATCTATGACTGCAAGTCTACCCCTTCTGATCACTCAGTACTAATCTAAGCTTCTTTTCATCATTCTTTAAACTGTTGAAGTTAGTGAGAGGGCTGAGGGATATAGCTCAGAGGCAGACCACCTGACTAGCATGTCTGAGCCTGGAACCCACCAGGCTCAGATAGATTACAAGGCTCTTGAAGGCGAATAGTTTTGCCTCCCTCAAGAACCCTGACTTCTCATTGGTGGGTCCCTGAAGATTTGTGCCCTTAGTGCCTCGGCGCAGTGCTGACCCCTACCGGTCACAGGTGGTTCAGCAGCCCTAGCCTCCGCATTTCTATCCCCCAGTAGGAAGAGTTGGGATATCTACTAGTTACCCTCTAGGTTTGGGAAGATGCTTGTGATAGAGTTGCCCCACAGTGCCACCCTTTCAAGCTTGAGAACTCTCCCTATTAACCCCTTAATCCATCAATTTGGTCTTTACATCCTCCCCAGTGCCATAAATATATAAGAATAGGGTCTCAAGGAGTTATACAGCAAAAACTGAAGCAAACAGCTTGAGAGCCAGGATGTGCAACCCTTTCTCCCCACCCGGAAAAGTCAAGGGTGTTTCCAACAGAACCCTGTTCCTCTAGATCTTTGCCTTAGGTCTAAGTTTCTCTTGGGCCATGGGGTCCTATTGGTGCCCGCGAGGACCGGAGGTTGAGCTGACTAGGTAGGCGGAGCCTGCGGGGTGGGGCCAGGCCAAAGGGCCTCTCACTAGGAGCTTCTCCATTCTGTCAGCTCTCCGGGAACATCCACGCCAAGACTGACACCCGTCGTAGCAGGTGAGGGACCCTCTTTGATTAGGGTGGTTTTGGGGGTATGGTGGTGGAAGTGTTTCTAGCACCTTCAGATTTAACTTTGCACACTGTCAAGGTCTCATTTGTAGAATTCTTGGGTCCCCAGAAGAGCTTATTTTTCACTGGGACAAGGCAGCCTTTAAAAGACCTGGTTTGGAATGGGGTTTGGTGTAGGGCTGCGGGACAGGGGTGGGCACAGGTGTGTGATAGATCAAGGAAATCTTGAGGCATGAAGGGAAAGGGGTGAGGACCAGAGGGAGAACAGAAGGTCTTAGAGAAGACCCAGGAGACAGAGAAAGAGGAAAACAGCAGGCAGTGAGAGGTCGGAGGAGCAAAGTCAAGCTGCTAAGAGGGGCAGTGAGAGCTGGGTAACAGGAAGATTGAGGAGGAAGGAAGGCTCACATGGAGCAATCAAGTCTTCCGGGCCTCTTCCAACTGTGAGCCTGGTCCAGAAAGCCCCAGGGCAGGCCAGGAGCAGATGGGGGCTGCAGGTTTCTACTGGAATGCTTCAGTGTAGAGGAAAAACCTCCCAGTTACCCACTCCCCTGCCTCTTCAGACTTCCAGTTTCGTTCAGAGGAGAGGGTGAGGCTCTCCTCACTGCGGTCACAGCCACATCCTGCAGAGCAGGGGAGGGGGAAGTAAGAAGCAAAACAACTAGAACCACCACAGGAGAGGACCTTGGGGTGGGAACCTGGACCTCTGCAGCAGATGGGTCCCAGCAGGGTCCTGAGCACAGCCAGGAGCCCGCAGACCTGCAGGCCTGCTGCCCGGAGGGGCCATATCCCATGCTGGCTCAGTGCACTGTACCTAAAGCAGTGCTGACAGCAGTCCACAGAAAAAGGCTCTTGGGATTGCTTGGCCTGAACCTCGTTCTTATCATTTACTAGTGACTCTAGTCAAGGTGCTTCATTTTTCTTAACTTTAGTTTTCTCACTGCAAAGTGGGGCTATCTGTGTATGGAGCTGAGGAGAGGCAGTTACCAAAAAGCACCTGACACATAGTAATATCTCAGTAAATGTTAATTATTCTTATCAGGACTCCCAGAATCCCTATGCTTCACACTTCTTTAAAGACAATAGTTGACATGGGCTCTTGGAGTCGGGAAATCAGTTGTGTTTGACCTCAGGTAAATAATTTAACACAAGCCTCAGTTTATGGAGAGCAATACCTATACCTCCAGGGTGCAGGATGCAGAGTCAGGGTCACACAGTAGCTGTGGGGTGATCTGTCAGCTACACTCATGCTCTGGCAGCAGCCCCCAATTCCTGCCTGCACCCTGGGGCCACCTTCCCTGTGGCCACTCCTTCAGAAGGGTTAGCAGTGTTCTTCCAGGATGCTTTGGAGATCAAGAGTCCCCACACAGGGGCTGGGGAGATGGCTCGGTGGAATAAGCACTTCCCTGATAAGCGCAAGGGCCTGAGTTCAATCCCTGGTTCCGAAAAAAAAAAAAAAAAAAAACAAACAGCAACACACAGAGGACCAAGGGGGCTTAGGGGAGACAGGACAAGGTAACCAAACAACAGAAAAAGGAAAGCCCTTTCTCTTTCTAAGAAAGCCTGTGACCTCTCTTCTAGTGAGTGACCACACCTACGCCCAGGCACCATGGAGTCCTTCAGCTCAAAGAGCCTGGCACTGCAGGCAGAGAAGAAGCTACTGAGTAAGATGGCAGGTCGCTCTGTGGCTCATCTCTTCATCGATGAGACAAGCAGTGAGGTGCTAGATGAGCTTTACCGTGTGTCCAAGGACTACACACACAGCCGGCCCCAGGCCCAGCGGGTCATCAAGGACCTCGTCAAGGTGGCTGTGAAGGTGGCCGTGCTGCATCGCAATGGCTGCTTTGGCCCTGGGGAGCTGGCTCTGGCTACCCGTTTCCGCCAGAAGCTGCGGCAGGGTGCCATGACGGCACTTAGCTTTGGGGAGGTAGACTTCACCTTTGAGGCCGCTGTGCTGGCTGGCCTACTCACTGAGTGCCGAGATGTGCTGCTGGAGCTGGTGGGGCACCACCTCACCCCCAAGTCCCATGGCCGTATCCGCCACGTGTTCGATCACTTCTCTGACCCAGGTCTGCTCACAGCTCTCTATGGTCCTGACTTTACTCAGCACCTTGGGAAGATCTGTGATGGGCTCAGGAAGCTGCTGGATGAGGGGAAGCTCTGAAAGCCTGGGACCCGGGGCTTTCTACCGTGGCTGACTGGAAAACAACACAACGGGGGCTTTCTAACCCTGCTCTAGGCACTAATGCTTTTCAACCCTCAGGCTTCATTCTTTCCCAAGGGAGCCTCACCTGAGACCACTGCACCCAAACTGCTGGAGAAGAAGATGCAGCGGGGGGGCTTATTCCCACTTGAGCCCCAGCACAGGAAACAGCTGCCTTCAAAAGGCGAAGTGAAACTTGGATCTCTATTTCTCCCAAAAGGGACATCTGAAACAGGGAAGCCTTCTCCCCTACACACCAAAGGGGACAGAACCCACATAAACCCTCTGGGGACACTAAAGACAGAAGAGGGGATGGTGGCTCTTGGAGACATCTTAGCCCTGCAGCTCTAGGTAGAACATGGACAGATACCAGAGGCTCTGTCTCAGGGTGCAGGAAGGAGGGCAAGGGCAAGGGAGAGCCTCAGAGGGAAAATAAAACTACTGAAACATGCACAGGGCTCAGTGTTTAATCTCTCCAGCTTCTACAGCGTAGGGTCATCACAGAGGAAAGGAGGTATGGAGACACCACTTATCTCACCTCTCACCACTTCCACACAGGAGACTGAGGCATATTTCCAGTACATTGAGGTTCCCTTGCCTACTTCTCTGTTTGAGAAACAAAAAACAAACTGTGCTGCAGATCAGTGCTACAGACTGCAAATAAATACACAGTGAAGATCAAGGCATAGACAGGCTCTGGTGGGGAGGATATGCAACTAAGAGCCTCCCAAGCCAACCTCCTCCTTGAGCCCCACAGGACTCTCCTTCCACCCTCAGCCCCACTGCAGGCAGAGCACAGGACAGGTTAGAAGGATGAATTGGTGGAATGGAGAGGTCAAGTCCCTACTTTGTTGTTTTTCTCAGAGCAAGGGTTGTGAAAAAGTTACAGGGAACTTGTTAGTCAAGACTGAGCCCAAATCCTTGACCTTGCCATCCTGGGTGTGACACCAGATCGCTGATTCCCTGTCCTCAGTAGCGTGCTCAGAAAGGAGCTGGGAGAAGATGAGGAACCAGCAGCCACTGGCTCAGTGTTCCAGGTTACGGAAATCCCATTTTTCAGCTGAGAGTGGGAAGGAGTTAGATATAGCAAATAAATATTACTCAATATAGCACCAAATAAATTAGATAACATAGTTGGAGCTGGGAAGTTGAAGGGGAGTCTCTGCTTCCCTGCTCTAAGGGCAGAATACAGTGAAAAAGATAAGAAAGGCAGCAGGGATGTAAAAAAGCCATCTGAATCTAAAGGATAACTCCAGATTCAGCTGACAACTGGAAAGGGGTCTGATTCTCATCTCCTACTTTAAAAAAAAAAAAATGCACTCCAGTTTGTGACAGACAGGAGGCTGGAGGAGATAGTTGGGAGTTGAGGGAGGCAGGCTGGGAAAGCCATGTTCTTGAGCCTCACCTCAGGCTCCTCTCTCCTTCAAGTTGTTCCTTCCAAATTCTGCTTCTCTCAGTCAGTTCAGGGGACATCAGAGTTTGAAGATTTCATCCTCCTGGTCCCGTAGTGTCCGAGTCCGAGAGGTCCGCGTCAACGGTACAGGACCTAGGACTGCTCGTTGCTGGGTCTGTGGGGAGCTCATGTGGAGACACGCATCTTCCCTGGGTACCCTGTAGGTGAGGAAAGGGGAAAGAGCGACAGATCAATGGAAGAACCTGAGGATGGGCCAGGAGGTACAGGGACATTGTCTCCTCTCCCACTTCACAAGCTCTCTGCTCCAAGACAATCTCAGTATCATCCAGAAAAATCTTAGCCATAATGCTCCTGAATGGATTAAGAAAGCAGCAAGAACAATCAACTGTTTCACTCTGAAGAGAACATGGAATCCAGCTCAGCCCAATCTGGCAGCCCTGGGCTGTGTACTTCATCAGGGGCCTTATAGGCAAAGGTACCGCCTCGCCTCTGCAGGTACTATGCTCACTTACTTGTGTTTGTGGGGAGTTGGCCAGAAGTCTGTGGAGCAACTTAGGAGGACTCACTCAAGACTCACCCAATTTCTCCTTTGCTCAGCTTCTGTGCAGCGACCTTCTTTGACAGGCTGATCTGTGAGTCAAGCTTCTTAAGGAAATCTGAGGCAGAGAGGTCATGGGCAGGCCCAGGGTGGTCCTGTCCAGTAGTGGGAGGGACGCTGTCACCTTTGGCATACTCGGAGCCCATCTTTTGTTTGCTCCTCTCAGCTGAGGGTGACCATGCTTTGTCCCTACTTGGGTACACCTCTTCCTCTCCATTGTTCTCTTCTTCAGAGTCCAAACCATTGAATAGGTCTCTGGGCTCTGTCAGGATGGGGATGTAGAGGGTTTTCTTCAGGAAGATGGAGTCATTAGTATAAAGGCGATTTGCACGCTTAATCTGTTCCATCTTAAAAAAAAAGTCACCCAAATTAATGATAGTAACAATTATCAATCTTTAATAGAATCTCCTCTTTTAAAAGTAATTATGGGGCTGGTGAGATGGCTCAGTGGTCTAAAGCACCTACTTAGAACAAGCTTAGCAAAGCATCAGGGACCCTGGCGGGCTGGGCTGGCCACACACACACACACACACACACACACACAAATAAATAAATAAAATTAAAAAAAAAAACCTTTAAAAAAATAAAAGTAATTATACAAGCTGGGTATGGTGGCATATACCTGTAATCCCAGCACTCAGGAGGCTAAGTCAGGAAGATTGCCACCAATTTAAGGTCAGCCTGATCTACATAGTGAGACCCTGTCCCAAAAATAAAATAAACTTGTGGCGATCCTCCTGCCTCAATCTCCCAAGTGTGGGGATTATAGGCATGCCACCATGCCTGCCTTTTTTGTTATTGTTGTTGCCACTGATACTTCTAAGCAGGGGCTCTACCACTGGGCTACATACCAGCCCAGCACTGATATTTCTTCCTTGCAAAGCCAGGGCAGACGGTGATGCCAGTCACTCATTCAGTGATGAATAAATAGGTACGAAATAAATATCTAATGAAAGAAATAATTCACATAGTGTAATACACATTTCCCTAGGGAACAAAAAGGCCCAAGATTCTAGTTCTACTTCTGTCATTAACTTGCTAGGTAAATTTAAACAAGTAGCTTAACCTTTTTTTTTTTTTTTTTTTTTTTTGGCAGAACCAAGGATTGAACTCAGGCCCTTGTGCTTGCCAGAGAAGCACTTATTCCACTGAGCCATTTCCCCAGCCCTTGCTTAACCTTTCTGAGCTTCTATCTTTACCTTTAACAATGGCTCTCAGTGAGGTCTCAGATTCTTCAGGGGCCTACAAGATCAGACCCATTTTCCTAGTATTAAGATGTTATTTTCTGGGCCGGGGAGATGGCTTAGTAGAAAAAGTGCTTGCCTCGCAGGCGCAAGGTCCTAAGTTCAATTCCCGGTTCCACCAAAAAAAAAAGATGTTATTTTCCCTTTCATTTTCATTTCTCACGAGGTACAATGGGTCTGCATGATGTGTAATATTGCAACAGATTGAACCTAGAAGAAGCCAGAGCAGCTGAGCATAGTGGCACACACCCTTAATTCCAGCACTCCGGAGACTGAGGCAGGAGGACTGCCATGAGTTTGAAGCCAGCCTGGGCTACAAAGAGAGTGAAAGGCCAGCCTGAACTGCAACAAGACCCTGACTCAAAAAGATACATACACACACACACACACACACACACACACACACACACCCAGAACCTTCTCAACTGGGTTATTCCAAAAATTTAATAACTTTCTCTTTCATTTCTACTCACCTTCCTCTTGACATCCATCTAGAAAAATGCCTCAGATTAACCTACTAGCTTGCTTATTATAAACCTCCTATGACTTGTCATTGGCTAAGAAATAAATCTAAATCAGCCAGGGAGATAGCTCAGTGGAATAAGCGCTTCCCTGGCAAGCGTAAGGGCCTGAGTTCAATCCCCGGTTCCGGAGGGAAAAAAAAAAAGTCCAAATCAGCACTGAAGATATTTCTCAATCTAGTTCCCACAGGAGACGTCTAGCCTTCTCTCTTTTGTTGCTTATGCAGTTTGCTGTCCTGAACTTTTCATTTTACTTTGAAGACTCCACCATCTTTCACATTTCTGTGTTTATTCATCCTGAAATGCCTATTCCTACTCCCTTCCCTGCTTGGAAAATGTCTACTCATCAACTATCAGTACCTTTGTGTGACCCTCTTCAGGGCTCCTAATGCAGCCCATGATGACTGCTGTAATGACTTGCCCTGCTCCTGTACAGGCTGAGAGGGTAGCTCAGTGCTGAAGTCCTGGTTCAGTCCCCAGTGCTACAGAAACAAACAAACTAACTAACTAACTTGTCTTATGGGCTGGGTACAGCTCAGTGGTAGACTGTTTGCCTAGTGTAGCAAGGCTCTGGGTTTGATCACTAGCACTGCAAAAAACAAGACCAAGAGCAAACAAGCAAAAACTTTCCCCTATTACATGGTTAGTCCCTGCTTTGCCAAAAGGATGTGAGTCTTTTAAGGGCAGGGATGGTAACTTGCTGTCTCTGTGTCCCTACTGTGCGCCTTAGTATCCTACAAAGTGTACAGGAGTTTAGAAAAAGTATGTATTTATGATAATATATAAACTAGAATAACAAATATATAAACTAGATAACAATATAAACTAGATAACAAAATACAGCCTCTCAGGGCCAGGGAGATGGCTCAGTAGAATAAGCTTTTGCCTGGCAAGCACGAGGGCCTGAGTTCAATCCCCAGTTCTACCACAAAAAATAAATAAATAAATAAATAAATAAATTACAGCCTCTCAGATAGAGTTGATCAGTATTTTATTCTCAGAAGCCAGACTGTCAGTTTTATTATGATGCCATCTTGGCATTTTATTGTTTTGTTTTGTTTTTTGAGACAGGGCCTCAATCTGTAATTCAGACTCAAAATGATCTTCCTGTCTCAGCCTTCAGAATGCTGGGATTATAAGTATAAGCATGCGGAACCAACTCTAGCTTTCTTTTTTTGAGATCAGGTCTTGCTGTGTACTCCAGCTTGGCCTAGAATTCAACAATTCTCCTGCCTCAGCTTTCTGGAATTGCAACACTCATTGATCTGAATTTTTCTTTTTCTACCTGTAGACAGAGTCTTGCTATGTTCTGCTGGAAGGCCTCAAACTCATGGCAATCCTCCTGCCTGTCTCCTAAGCACTGGGATTACAAGCATGTACTACCATGCCCAGCTAAAATCTGAATGATTTCAAAAAGTTAAAATTGTCTTGCACTTTTGAACATGCCAAATATTTTGATGCTATCAATTTTATTTTGCCTAGATTATATCATAGATCCCCTCCAGCTCCAAGATGTTATGAATAATTTGAGTTTTGTGGTGCTTTTATTATTTGCCAGAGGGATCATAGTCTACTTTCTTTCTTGAGGATAAGCATCGTGTTTATCGTTTTTCTCTTTAATATTAAAAAAAAAGAAAGAATATGCAGCATGGTAGAGGAATTAAAAGTAAGGATTTGGGCTGGTGAGATGGCTCAGTGGTCTAAAGCACCTACTTAGAACAAGCTTAGCAAAGCATCAGGGACCACGGTTCAATCCCCCAGCACCACATG